TATGTCATCCATAACTTTGATTAATGCTGTTGTGGTGCTGCATCCTTCTCTGAAACCAGATTGGTAATCTGGCAGGATTTTGTTTATGTTAAGGAACTCAATTAATTGTATATGCACTAACTTTTCTAGGGCCTTTCCAAGGCAGCTCAAGATGCTCACAGGTCGGAAGTCCTTGAATTCTTTTGGTGATGCCACTTTAGGTATTGGTTTCAAGTTTGCCATTTTCCAGATAATTGGGTACACACTGGACTGTAAGCAGAAATTGAATAAGTGTTCCAGCACTGGCATAAGAGGGGCAATTGCATGTTTGATGAATCTTATTGGTATTTGGTGTGGTCCGACAGCTGCTGATGTAATGTTGTTTATGACGGTGATGATTTCTGTTGGCAGAACATATCTGAAATGGAAAGGTTCATATTTTGGCTTTGGTTTGGACAGATAGCTTTCTATGGTTGAGTTAACTTCTTTTTCATTGCTTGGCTTCCCAACTTCTAAGTAGTATTTGTTTAATTCAGAGAGAGAGAGAGAGATGGGGTGGAAAAGGTGGATGGCTACCCACGGCACCAAAAGTATCGCTACCTTTCCATTTCAGTCATTTGCTTGAGTCAAAAGACATAAATTGTAAAGAAACTTCCCGAATAACGTAAATATAAATCACATCACTCAACAACACTCGGAGTAACGAGTTCTTGAATAGATCGAGTATAAAGTGGTACGTACTTTATCCAAACCCAGTTTGGACATCAAACGAAAATATGGGTTTCATTTCAAACGCAAAAGGGTAGAGCCCTGCAAAGAGCGGGCTACGCTAGCGAAATGCCTACCTCGACCCCCCTCCCGCCTGTCAAAGAAGGGGGTCTAGTTTGCGTAACCCGCTCGATGCAGGCCTCTTCAAAGGGGGAGAGTTTCACTTCAACATTGGGGTAGGATGCAAGTCTTCATACAACTTAAGAACAATGTCACTTGTGCCAACAATGTACAGTGCACATTGCACTCAGTTCGAAGTACAACGTGCGTGATCCAAGAACACCTTTTTGGGAGTGCAGCTTGATGGTAAGATGGAGGATGCTTAAAGGGTCGGAGGGGTAAGGACCAAGCCAAGACGAGACGAGAAGGAGAGGGCGGCCCGAGAGACAGCAGCAGCTCGCGAAGTTTTCCGCCTGATTTTCCACTAGTTTATTAAAGCCCCAATCGGCTAAAGAGC